ACCAATGACCGTTTTAGGTTCTAACTCCCCCATGAGCATTTATCTGGGTTTGATAATGAGAATAATAATTCTCTCTGCAAAATGAATACACAGATGTGAGCAGTTTAATGGTGGTCTCCCTGGCATCATGCCAAAGTGAAGCTGGGGACGTTATTTTTAAGACGGGACTCTCCCTTTCCAGCATTTCTTTCTTTTTTTAAAAATGTTTTATTTATTTTTGAGAGAGAGAGAGAGAGAGCATGAGCAGGGGAGGGTCAGAGAGAAAGGGAGACACAGAATCCGAGGACAGGCTCCAGGCTCTGAGCTGTTAGCACAGAGCCCCACACGGGGCTCGAACCCATGAACCGTGAGATCATGACCTGAGCCGAAGCTGGACGCTTAACGGACTGAGCCACCCAGGTGCCCTTTTCCAGCGTTTCTTAAATCTCTCCAGGGTCAGTCAGTTCACCCCTGTACCTGTGGGCTTATTCGCCTGCTTCTGAGCTCCAGCCCACAGGAGAGGTTGGTGGTCCTGGCCCTGGTGGGGACTTCTGGGAAGTCACCAGTGAGCATCTATAGAGGCCGCAGGGCCACTTGCCCAGATGACGCAGGGATCAGGGCCATGTCTGTGGGTGGCCAGTCCTGCTGGCTCTGGGCTTCCTTTCCAGCTGGGCAGGCTGAGTACGGGTATCCACAGGGGCCTGGGTTAGATGGGGGCTGCATGGGAGCCTTAAATGTTCGATGGGAAAAGCTCCCTCACGAGTCTGGGCAGGCTCAGGGCCCCTGTGGGACTTCAGCACGGAGATGCTAGTCATCCCGTCTGGTGGCGCCTGGTGGCGGGTGACGTGTTTGCTACCATGCTCTCAGCCTCACTGAGGGGCTCGCATGTTTCCGAGCCTTGCTCTGTACTTAGGATTATTTTAAACACATCTGTATGAGCTATTGTGTTTAATAAAATATATCCTTTTAAAGGTATTACTAAATTTATAATGACTTTTCATCCTGGCCCAGGGTGTCAGTTGAGGGATCTTGAAGGCACAACTACCATCAGGCAGGGCTTTTGTTGTAAAACAGTGTTACCAAGGTTGTGAAAGACGATACTCAAGATGTCGGGAGCCTGTCTTACTGGAGGTGATGCCCTTTGTGATGCCCTGGCAGGAGGCCACGCAGGCTGGGAGTCCTCTCCTCCAAAGCAGCCCCAGGCTGTAGCTCTGGCTGTTAGAAAGCCCGAAGTCACTGACTCCGCCTCCTGAGGGTCCCACCCTCCCTCCTCCGTCCCGCCCTCCAAGCTGCTGTGATCTTTGGGATTGCACCTACAAAGTAAAACCATTGGCTGGCGTCTACCCGAACTTCTACTCACCTAGGAATTTTCTGTCTCTACTTTGAAGCAAGAGAAGAAAGGACCCCAGATGGAGCCAACAGATAACCTCCCGAATCCAGAAAAACCACCCCCTCCAGCCTCTCCACCTTCTTTCTGTGCCCTCCTACCCTGGGGGAAGCTGATGGTGCGGTAGAAAGACAGGAGATATTAGAATCACCAGACCCTGGGTTTCACTTCCTTTCCTGCCTGTCACCTGCTTTGAGACTTCGGGCAAATTCCTTTACTTCTCACCTTGTTTCATCTGAAAATGAGATTGATAATTCCAGCTCACCGGGCTTTTATCAGGATTAGGTACATGGTACTTAGTAAGTGCTTCGTAAATATTAGATAAGCCTGGATCATGTTCAAAGTTTATAATATTGACCTTTGGGAGAACGTACACTAAGAAGTGCACTTAGCAGATGTGAGTTCACATTTTCGCTGCCAGAGCACAGAAGAAAGCGATCACGGTTACCGTGACTACAGCAAATCGTATTCGCCTGGAGGTCCCAGCATCCTTCAAGGACAGCCATCCTCAAGGACTTTCCCAAAGTCCTTACAGATGTCTGCGTGTGCCTGGACGTACCGGGGCGCAGACATGGGTGGTGCCTGGGCTCTCCTGGGTACTCCGGGCTCCCGGGGGTGGGGTAGTGAGGAATCAGAAGTGGGCGCATTCTCTGTTGATCTGTACCAAGTACCCTCAAGCATAGGAACTTCAAACAACAAACATGTTTTCTCTCCCACAGTTTCTGTTAGAAAGAAGCCCATCGACCCGATCACAGGAGGCTCATGGAGATGCAGAGCACGCTGAAGGGAGGCTTTAATCAATATTCTTTGCAAGAGCGGGTGTCTGATGGACGGGCACATGCGGGGAGGTCACAGCAGACAATTTATCTCCTAGCCCACAAGTCCCTCCCCTGGTTCCTCATTGGCTGAGGGCTACAGAGGTCACAGCCTTACCCAGATGTCGCCTATGCCAGTGAAAGGCAAAAAAAGTGGTCTGATTGGAACAAATGTACATTCTCTGAGCTGAGCAGCGACGTTAAGTCCCTCCTCCTTTTGTTCTTTGGCGCATGCTCATTGCAAAATCGGCAACACAGAGATGGGAAGAACCAGCAAGTGCAGTGTGTAAAGGTTTGGGCCTCCATTGTCGGGGGTGGGGTTCGTTCATATTTCCAATAGAGTGTAAACCTACTGCTAACTAGTCAGCACGGCTTTTATTTGGTATTTCTGAGAACGAATCCTCTCTCTGACTCGTCACAGTTTCTGAGGGTCTGGAGTCCAGGAGAGGCGTAGCTGGATGGCCCTGCCCAGGGTGTCTTGTGAGGTGACAAGCAAGCTGTTGGCCACATGGGCATCCTCCCAACCGGAAAGGGCTGGAGGAGGAGTCACTGCGTGAGGGCTCACTCGCAGGGCTGTTGGCTGGAGTCCTCCGTTCCTCACTGGCTGTTGGCTGAGGGTCTCCAGGGCACCCTGTGGGCCACCTGGGGACTCCACCTGGTCTCTCCAGGCCCACAGGCTCCCTCAGAAAGAGTAATCTGAGAGGCAGAGACAGACAAAGAGACAAGGGAGACCGAGGGCTATGCAAATGGAAGTTGCAGTGTCTTTGGTGATGTTAAATCTAACCTCAGAAGTGGCAGGTCCCCCCTTCTGCTGTATTCACTGAATCCAGTCCACTCTCAAGGAGAGCAGAGTCACATTAGGAGCAAAGTCATTGGGGGCGCCTGGGTGGCTTGGTCAGTTAAGCGTCCGACTTTCGCTTAGGTCATGATCTCACGGTTCGTGGGTTCGAGCCCTGCGTCGGGCTCTGTGCTGACTGCCAGCTCAGAGCCTGGAGCCTGTTTCAGTCTGTGACTCCCTCTCTCTCTGACCCTCCCCTGCTCACGCTGTCTCTCTCTCTCTCTCTCTTAGAAATAAATAAAACATTAAAAAAATTTTAAAAAAAAGTCATTGGGTGCCATCCTGGAGTCTGGTGCCTATGGCTGCTGAGCATGAAAGCTGCCTCCATTTTGACCTCAAACTTGATAACTGAGTTCTTCTTTCCCGCTTGGCTCTTGGCTCAGGCAGAAGACTCTGAGGGTAGAACATTCCCTGAAGGGAACAAAAACGACCGCCTCAAGCAACAGGGACTGCCCTGAGCCAGCAAGCCCCCAACTGTGATGGACTCCAAGAAAGTGATAGATTTAACCTCTACGGCCTCCCCAAATGCTCCCACCCACCTTTGCCCCATGTTTTCCCAATATAAACCTGAAAGGGTTTTTGGTATTTGCGAGACGGTCTTTGAGACCATAGTCTGCTGTCTTCCTGGCGTTGGCCTCACTGAGAGGTGCAAGGTATACATATACACTTTGTGTAACTGCACTCTGACTATAAGTAATAGAATCCAAGCTGAGGGACTGGGCATTCTTTTTCTTTGTTTAAGGGTATTTATTTATTTGAGAGAGCGAGAGGGAGGGCCAGTGGGGGAGGGGCAGAGAGCGAGGGAGACAGAAAATCCTAAGCAGGCTCTGCGCTTTCACTGCAAAGTCCTACACAGGGCTTGAACCCACGAACCATGAGATCCTGACCTGAGCGCTGAAGTCAAGAGTTGGATGGTTAACCCACTGAGCCACTCAGACGCCCCAGGGGCTGGGCCTTCTTAAGTGACATTTCTCACGGCCTGTGGCAGCCTGGGGAGCATTTGTCTATCCGAGGTTGTGGGGGAGCCATCTGCTCCCGGACTGACGAGACTTTCCCCTGGGCGGTGCCAAATAAATCCCAGCAGCTGCCCCTCGGTGCTTTTGTGGACTCATAGACTGGGGAGTGTAGCCAATTATCCAAAGGACCCATTCTCGTATCTATCCCCCCAACCCCCGCCCCCAGGATGGGATCCAGAAGGCAGAGCGTTCACTGTGGGGCCCACGGGGCAACCCTCCCATCATGCCATCAGGACCAGGCTAAGTAATTTGAGGGCCCAGCAAATTCTTGTTTTTAAGAATTCTCGTTAGAATTTCCAGGTGGCCACAGTAGGAATGAACGCAAGTGCAAGACTATGGTCTCACTCTTGGAAGCGTGGGGCCCAGTGTGACTGTCCCCGGTGTGCAGGACACGCCGGGCAGCCCGATCATGGTCATAGCATGTTACAGTGGGTTTGTGTCTCTGTGCTAGGGTCTGAGTGTTTGTCTCGTGATGTCCCGGGAGGTCCGCCGTCAGCCCAGGCTGCTGATGCCTCTGTCCCTTGTGAAGATGCTCCTGGGGGTCAGAGTGTCTACAGGGACACCTCCTCCTCTCACCCCCTGCGCTCACTGCTGCACGGCCACACAGCCAGGCCACTTCACGTCGTAGGGTCTCAAACTCTTACGAAGCCACTTGTTAATTCTTATTTAGTGTTAAATATAGCCTCTCACTCTATAACTCAGACAAAAATCCCCATTTCGGACATATATCTCAGCATCGGGCTTAAGGACAATCTAATTTCCTACCTAATTTAAATTCTCTCTTCCTTTGAGTTCTTTTCCAATAGATTCCTTGGAATTTTTTTAAAAAAAAATTAAAATATTTATTTTCGAGACAAAGACAGAGTGTGAGTGGGGGAGGGGCAGAGAGAGAGGGCGACACAGAATCTGAAGCAGGTTCCAGGCTCCGAATGGTCAGCACAGAGCCCGATGCAGGGCTTGAACCCCCCCCACCCCCATTCCGTGTCACATCTCCGTGGCAGATGCGGACCTTACATCCCCGCCATCAACGTGCACGGGAACGGGCCTGCGCTCTCAGCCCCTTACTCTGGTAAATGGATTTATTGTTCTGCTCTTCTTTTACGGTGCTGGGCCGGGCTGGTGTCTCGGCCCCTTGACGGGCTTGGTGTCCTTCATGGGCTCAGTGGAGTAGAGGTGGGTCCTCCCCTTAACTCTCTGTTCTTGGAGAAATAGGTACAGGCAGTTCCCTGAATATGTGTCAGGGTCTCATTTTACTGTGGAAAAAACCCTGTGAAGCATTTTATGTCAAAATAAAAGCACAGACGGAGGACTTATCTCCTGTGGTCGCCTCCACCTGCTTTGTCCGAGGCCTGCTTTGGCTCAACGTCAGACACCTAGGTCCTGAGGGAAGGAGGGGACATTTGTCGAGCATTTACATGCAACTCCCTGTTTAATCCTCCTGGCAAGTCTGGGAAGTGGTTTTTATCCCCATTTAACAGATGAGGAAACTGAGGTTCAGGGCCCTTAGGGACTTACTCCGGGTTACTCTGTTTGCAGATGACAGAGCTAGGACTTGACCCTAAAGCAATATTGTTCTCACTGCCTCTGTGCCGGGTGACGTTGGGTGTTTTCACCACCAGGGTGAACTTGGGCATGACTCACTGGTGTCTGGGAATCAGACAAGACAGCGTAGAGCAAGGGTGACCAATTGCTGTCCCCAACAAAAGGAGCCTCAGAAATTCAAAGCAGCAACTGCTTTCATCTAGGGTGGTCCAAGGAGTCCTGAGCTGGGTCGGGACAGATCCATACTTGGGGAGGCAGGAGGGACGATGTGGGGCTGAGCACGGGGGTGGGGCCGGCGAGGAGGCAGGGGGAGACGGGTCAGGGAGGCGAAGGGGACCAGTGAGAGAAGGCTAGTGGCCTGGGAGGGAAGGGTGAAAGCCCCGCCACCGGGCTGCACGGTTTCCATTTATTCCAGTAAGTTACTAGGGAGCCACAAACGCTTCTTGAGGAGGGGAAGTGCTATAATAAGAGTTTCACTTTAAGAAATGACTTGGGAACTGGCAGATGATTTATGGGGACAGGAAACCTGGTTAGGAAGTGACCGCCTCTGCTCAGATGGGAAATGCTGGGGTCCTGCAGTCACGGGGTGGGGTGGGGACCGAAGGTCGGCGTGCGAGGTGCAGATCTGGTTGCACGCGGGGCGGGGGATGGGAGGACCCAGTGAAGCACGTGGCTGAGGGAGAAGTCACAGGAGGCTGGGATGACCAGCCCGTGGCAGCGAGGGTGGCCACGGGGGGTCTCGGTTCACTCAACCCTCAAGCCCCACGGGTCCCTCCGTGGAGGCCAGGGTCCCCACGGTGGAGGTCTCTCTGGTCCCTGTGATGCCCTGCCCCTGTCTCCTTGGTGGCTTTTTCTCCTCCTCCGACTGAGCCCCAGAAGCGGCGGGAGCCGTAGGCCGCTTGTGGCTGCACAGAACGGCCTCCCTCGGACCCTGGGAAGTATCGCGTCCGCTTGTGCGAGATCGTGAAACAGCAGCGGGCACACTGTCTTCCGCCTTCCAAACGGCCCATCACACTGAACTGTCTATCAGAGAAACAGCAACGGAAGGTAAAGGGGCAGCTTCTAGACTCTGGAGCCCAACGACTTGGACCCAAGTCTCAGTTTTGCTAGTTACTCGCTGGGAGACCTTGGGCAACTTGCTTAACCTCTCTGTCCTCCAGTTTCCTCATCTGTAAATCGGGGGAAATACTGGTGTGCACGTCAAAGACTGTTGAGGTTAAGAGAGTTAGACGACGCCACTAATGCCTGGTAGGTAGCTGGCGCTTCATAAATAGGTGTTGAGTAGAGGAGTGTTTTAGTTTATTTAATTTTTTGAGAGAGAGAGGAGGGAGGCGGGAGGGGCAGAGAGAAAGGGAGAGACAGAATCCCAAGCAGGCTCTGCACTGTCAGCACGGAGCCCAAAGCCGGGCTCGAACTCACCAACCGTGAGATCATGACCGCAGCCGAAATCAAGAGTCGGACACTTAACCAACTGAGCCACCCGGGCGCCCCTGGGTAAGTGTTTTAGAAGGAAGAATTCCAAGAAAGAAAATTAGAGGTGTTTTGTTTCGTTTTAGGTTTGGTTTTTTGTTTATTTATTTTTTGTATGTGAAATGGAAAAATCTAGGTAAGAAAGTGGACGGTTACTTCCTGATAGAGTCCATGTAAATGTTGGGGGAGGGGAGAGAGGGAGTTACTGGAAGGAGTGCATTCAAAACTCCTCATGAAAAGCTATTTTCTTTCTCTGCTTCCTGAAGTTCTGCCTTCAAGGCCCAGTGTAAATGTCACCTCCTCCGGGGAACCTCCCTGGTTTCCACCCCCACCCCCACCACTCAGATGTGGCTTCCTCCTCTGTTCTCGGTCAGCATCCCACTTTCGGGGTTACTGTGGCACTTACTGGATTCTGCTTTATTTTTTCCATAGTAGCATTACGTGGCTGCCTCCTCTTCCTGGACCAGAAGCTTCTCTCCGAGGCAGCACGTGCAGGAACGTGGAGTTGGATGGGTCTGCTTACTGCTTACCAGCAGGGCTTAACCTCACAGGTAGGAGACGCAGGCCCACCTGTCCAGAGCTCTCTCAGCCTTGGTCTTGCACCTTCAGACCCAAGGGGACCAACGTGCCACAGGGCAGGACTGTGGGATGGAATCATAAAGAAGTTTCTCCCTTGTCTTTCTTGATTCGGTCAGTGGAGGCGCCCCCTGGCCCTGCTGAAGTCTCAGGCAGCCCTGTAACCTTTCTGGTTGCCCTTCGTTAATACAAATTCTCCCCATCCGGGACTTTGGTGTTCCGTTGCTGTTTTTTTAATTTTTTAAAAAGTTTTTATTTATTTATTTTGAGAGAGATGGAGACAGTGCGAGCAGGGGAGGGGCAGAGAGAGAGAGAGAGAGAGAATCCCCAGCAGGCTCCGCACTGTCAGCGCAGGGCCCAATGCGGGGCTCAAACTCATAAAAATGAGATCATGACCTGAGCTAAAACCAAGAGTGGGGTGCTTAACCGCCTGAGCCCCCCCACGCAGCCCCCCATCCGGAACTTTAAAATGTCAAGTCCCAAATTTGATTTAAAATAGGGACTTCTTGGGGCGCCTGGGTGGCTCAGTTGGTTAAGCGTCCGACTTTGGCTCAGGTCATGATCTCATGGGTCGTGGGTTCGAGCCCCGCGTCGGGCTCTGTGCTGACGGCTCAGAGCTTGGAGCCTGTTTTGGATTTTGTGTCTCCCTCTCTCTGACCCTCCCCTGCTCATACCACCTCTCTCTCTCTCTCAGAAATAAATAAAACATTAAAAAATAAAATACAATAAAATAGGGACTTCTTGGGGCACCTGCACCTGGGTGGCTCAGTCGGTTGAGCGTCCGACTTCAGCTCAGGTCATGATCTCGTCGTGGTTCATGGGTTTGAGCCCCGCGTCAGGGTCTGTGCTGACAGCTGAGAGCCTGGAGCTGTTTCCGATTCTGTGTCTCCCTCTCTCTCTGCCCCGCCCCTGCTCACACTCTGTCTCTCTCTCTCAAAAATAAACAAACATGAAAAAAAAATTTTAAATACAGTCAAATAGGGACTACTTGCCTCTGGCCTGGGGCTCTGGAGCAGGTGTGAGGCCTCCAGTGGGGAGGAGGTGCGGGGGGTGGGTAGGTTTCTCTAGTCTTTACTCAACTCTGTCTGCATCTTACTCAAACTTACTGGGCGGGGGCGGGGCATTTGAGCCAGCTGACCCCCCTCCTGTGACACCACCAGCCTGGTGTTTGCTCTGAGGCTGTGCTGCTGGGGGCATAGAGCTCTGTTTAGCTGAGCGCCCCATCTGCCGTCTTCTCTGTCTGTCTGTCTGTCCACCTGTCACAGGCTGCACTGGCTGTATCTCTCTGTCCCAGCATGTGCAGGTCTTTGCTCTGGGTCCCTCGGGGTCCCCTCTGCTTGGTGTGCTCTAGCCCCCCACTTTCGCGGCTGTCTTCCTAGGACTCAGGGTTCTGCCCACATCGCACCCCTCCCCCGCCCCATTCAAGAGCAGGGCAGCGGAGGGCTGTGTGGTTGAGGGCGGTACTGGTTCCTGGTGTTGCCATTGGGCCCGAGCTCCCCGCCCTGCCCTGGGGCGTGGTGGGGACTGGGGTGTGGCCCTGCTTTTGGTCACAGCAGCTACAGAATTCCTGGAGCAGGTCAGCTGTTTCAAGGTCTGGAAACTTGCCTGGTCCCTCCTCTGATTTATGGTTGTTGTGCAGCCGCTGACTACCTCTCCCCCCCTCCCCTTCTAATGAGAGTAAAGGAGGGACAGGACCCAGAACCCGTGGGGCTCTTCTCTGCCCATTTATTCTGACTTTGGCAGCCTGAAGTGTGGACTCTTGGCACGGCATTCAAGGCCGCCCCACTATTTGAGGCTCACCCCAGGCATCGCTTCCAAGACCACTGCCCTCAGCCTCCTTACTAGCCCAGGGCACTGCCTCTGCTGGGACCGACTGCGTGTCCGAGGCAGGGGTAGGGCATGGGGACGGGGACATGAGTCGGGGACAGCGCCGGCACATAACTTCTTCCTGGGGGCTCAGGACGGGCCCTTAATATGCTATTGCTCTGTTAATTTATTCCTCAAGCCAGATTTTCAGGCAGGCTTTGTGAAGCCTGTTAGCCAGAAAAACTGAGTCACAGCCTGAGGTCACCGGCCAGAACTGCCCAGGGGAACAGGGTTCAAACCCAGAACGCAGGCCCAGAGCCCCTGGACACACCCCTCCACCTTCAAGCAGCCAAACGAGCAAAACAGACCATTGTACTTTTATGAAGCTTTTAGCCCCGAAGGAAACTGAGGTAAGCCTAACGCATCAACTCCAGGGGCCCACCTTCCTCCGCAGGTACCGAGCCCCCCCTGCCCCCCCACGCTGTTCCAGGCCCTGAGGGGAGGTGACCCGTGCACAGGTAGCCGCAGCCCCAGGCCGGGGTGGGGTGTGGCGGGGAGGGGAGGGGAAAGGATGGGCGGGGGAGGAAGAGGAGGCAGCTTCCTGAAAGGCCACCGTGGGACCCTCCCCGTGGTGAGGAACACGGGGGAGAACAGGAAGCTCCTAGCATTAGATTTTGAGCCCTGTGATTCTGGAGGGGCGGCTTACCCCAGAGAGGTAAGCACCCCTGTGCTCTGAGAAGACTAGTCTCGTGTGTGTCTGCGTGTGTGTGTGTGTGTGTGTGTGCACGCGCCCACACACTTATGCTGGGGAGGAAGCCGTTGCCCAAGATGGCCTCCCCTGACTCGGAGGAGCTTCGTCCACCCGCGGAATCTGAGGCCGTGGCTGAGGTGGACGAAGCAGCTCAGGAGACCTTTCCGCACCCGGGACGCCGGGCCACCCGCCTGTCTGCCCACAGCGAGGGGCAGCCGGCCTCCCGAGCTCCGGGGACGGGAGGGCGATTCCGAGGCAACTGGGAGCCCCGGGGAGCACTTCCCCTGCAGAGACGAGGGGAAACCCCAGGGTGGGTGGGGGGAGGCAGCTCTCACAGGGAGGGGCGGGAGGCGGGTGTGACACAACAGAGGCCACCTGCCAGGCGCCGGGCCAAGTGCTGGCGGTGTACTGGCCTCGGAGGACGGGAGCCTGGGAGGGAGCCGAGGGAGGCCCCGGCGGACTCTTCTCCACCTCAGACACATCCCCTTCCGGAAGCTCGTGTGCTCTCACCCCAACTGAGGCCCAGAGCAGCTCAGGGTTAATGGGGTCACAGAGGATTTGGCAGCTCAGGAGGCAAGAACTTGGGCAATAGGGACAACCCTGGTTCTAGCGCTCACCAGCTGGGTGACCTCAGGCAGGAGGCGCAAGGGCGCGGATCCAGGCTTCCTCCTTGTGAAATGGGGCCAACCCACTCCCTCCCGGGGAAGCTGCGGGAACCGGGGCAGATGGCCCGAGCCAAGCTTCCGCTCACACTCCGGCGTCACCAGGGAAATGCAGCTGATGCCCGCGAGCTGCCTCCGCGCACCCACCGGGCGGCTGAGATGGGACCGGCTGACCTCATCAAGCGCTAACGGGGATGTGGAGCTACTGGAAGCCTCACACTTCGTTGGCAGGAAAGGAAACTGGGGCTGCTGTTTTGGAAAACAGTTTGGTGGTTCTTTCTTTCTCTCTTCCTTCCTTTCTTTCTTTCTTCCTTTCTCTCTCTCTCTCTCTTTCTCTTTCTTTCTTCTTTCTTTCCTTCCTTCTTTCTTCTTTTTCTTCTTTCTTTTCTTTCTTCTTTCTTTCTTCTTTCCTTCTTTCTTTCCTTCTTTCTTTCTTCTTTCCTTCTTTCTTTCCTTCTTTTCTTTCTTGTTTCTTTTTTCTTATTTCTTTTTTTCTTCTTCCTTCCTTCCTTCTTTTTTCTTCTTTCTTTCTTTTTAATGGTTTCAGGTGTAGAATTTAGTGATTCATCACTTACATATAACACCCACTGCTCATCCCAACAAGTGCCCTCCTTAGTGCCCATCACCCGTGTAACCCATCCCCTCCCTCCCCCCCCAGCAACCCTCAGTTTGTTCTCTGTATTTAAGAGTGTCTTATGGTATGAATCTGGTGGTTTCTTAAAAAGTTAAACATCGCCTAAACATCACCAGACAAAAGAAAAAGACATACTGCATGATTCCATTTATAGAAAATTCTAGAAAATGCAAACTCTTCTATATGACAGAAAGATCAGTGGCTGCCTGGAGGTGGAGGGGTCTGCGGGGACCACGGATGGGGGCCATGGGGGCCGAGAGGCACCAGGAAATTTGGGTGGCGGTGGGTTCATGGACATACACTACGCATGTCAAACTGCTCAGATTGTCCACTCTAACTACATGCAATTTCCTGTATGGCAGTTATACCTCCATAAAGCTGTATAAAAAAAGCTTTCTGGAGGCAGTGAAGAGTAGACATTACAGTGGGGAAAAAAACAAAATCAAGAAAAGATGTAGCATCTAGTGCATAGTCGTTTAGTAAATGCTGGTTACTTGACACATTTCCTGCACATATGAACCCAAAATGGGTTTCCCACTATATCTGTTCACTCACTTGTCCTTCTGTGAGTAGGGGCACCTGGGTGGTTCAGTTGGTTAAGCATTTGACTCTTTTATTTATTATTGACTTATTAAAAAAGTTTTTTTTACTGTTTGTTTATATTTGAGAGAAATAGAGTGTGAGCTGGGAAGGGGCAGGGAGAGGGGGAGACACAGAATTTGAAGCAGGCTCCAGGCTCCACAGAGCCTGATGTGGGGCTTGAACTCATGAACTGTGAGATCATGACCTGAGCTGAAGTTGGATACGTAACTGACCTTAACAGGTGCCCCTAAGTGTCTGACTCTTGATTTCGGTTCGGGCCGTGATCTCACAGGTCGTGAGTTCTAGCCCTGCATCAGGCTCTGTGCCGTCAGCGCAGAGCCTACTTGGGGGGTCTCTCTCTTTCCCTGTCCCTTTCTCTCTCAAAATAAATAAAACTAATAAACTTGTCCTTTGGGGAGTGAACGGAGTAGAGAGAGGGGTTGAGATCCAGGTGTGTGAGTCCTGATCATGCCGTCAGGAGCATCACCCAAGGGGACTGAGAAGCCCGACTCATCACCCCGGAACTCTGCCACCTGTGCTAGGGACACAGGAGGTGAAGGTGGAGCAGACACCAGGAAGAGGCCAAGGAAGGAGGCGAAAAGCGTGGGGACCCACTCTGCCTGGGACAGGGAAGGGGGTCAAGTGACGTTTCACAAAGGAAATGGTTTTGGGGTGGCCTTGAAGGATGAGCGGTTCCTGGGGCTGGAAAGGGGAGAAAGCACAAAAAGGGACAAAGCAAAATCCGTGTCCATCCACGTGGGTGGGACTCATAGCAAATCCTCAGCAGCCCCTCCTCTAATGCCATGTTCTTCAAGGCCCAGCTGCAGAGAGAGTGACAGTGATGTGGAGTCAGGTGTGGGCTGCTCACCGCCGTGCCCCCCCCGCCCCCACCGGGCGCCGTCTCTGGGCTGGCGGGTGGGCCCGAGGGGCCTTCACCTCTACTTGGCCGGGCCTAGAATCCGCGAGAGGGACTCTCCACTCGGGGGTGCTGTTTCCGAGGTCCCAGGGAGCAGAGCGGCCGTGAGCGGAAGGAGGAAGCTAGGCGGGCTCGGGGCGAGAACCTCTGTCCTGTGTATTATTAGCTTCCTGTGGCTGCGGTAACAAAATCCCACAATCACGGTTGCTTCAAACAGCAGAAGTACTTTCTCTGTTCCTCAGGCCCGAAGTCCGAGATGAGGGTGTAAGCAGGACTGCGCTCCCTCCAGAAGCTCCAGGGGACAGTCCCTGTCTCTCCCAGCTCCTGGTGGCTCCTGGAAGTCGTTGGCTTCTGGCTGTGTCACTCCAATCTCTGCTCCATCTTCACGTGGCCTTTCTCCTCTTTGTCTCTGTGTCTCGGACCTCCTTCCCCCTCGTCAGTCACGCTAAATCCAAGAGAGCCTCATCTCACGATCCTTAACTTAATGACCTCTGCAAAGACCCCATTTCCAAATCAGCCACATTCACAGGTACTGGGACACAGGTTTATGGGAGCCGCCACTTAACCTATGCACCTTGGATTGAGAGCAAATCCAAACGTAAACTTACTCTTCTCTCCCTCCGTACTGTGCTCCACGGAAGGAAGGCACTGCAGGCCACGTGTCAGGAAGGAGTGCGACATTGTCTTTTTTTTTTTTTTTTTTTAAAGCTTATTTATTTATTTTGAGAGAGAGAGAGCATGAGCAGGGGAAGCACAGAGAGAGAGAGAATCTCAGTGCCATTAGGGAAAAGCCCGATGCGGGGCTCTAACTCACAAGGCCTTGAACTCATGAACCATGAGATCATGAACGGAGCCAAAACCAAGAGGTGGAAGCTCAGCTGACTGAGCCACCCAGGTACCCGGGACGTTGTTTTTTCAAAGTTATCCTGGCTAACATTAGACCCTCTGAGGCAGGCCTCTCTCCTTCCTACCCTCTTTACAGGCCCCACGTGATTCAAATCCCAGCCAGGACCACCTCTCAGACCAGTGACCTGACACAGGGGACCTGACCTCTCTCGGCCTATGTCCTGGGTCCGCTGTGGAAATGAACCAATGGGCAGTTGGGCCAGTGGCCCGACCCCCTCCTAACTAACCTACACTTGCCTGAGTAGCGTAAGAGGTCCCTACCCTCGTCTTCCTGGGTCTCCGTTTCCCCACTTGGTTACCCAGAGTGATACCTGCTGCCAGGAGGCCTCCCTCTGCCTCTATGGTGTGGGGGCTGCTCCCCGTGTCTGAGGCTCATACTTGGCCCCTCCCCCACTCGGCTCCATTCCCCCCCCCCCACACTGTCTACTGCCGGTGGGAGGTGTGCTGTGGCCAGTGTCCCTGTCCCCCCTTCTGGCATCTGTTAGGTCCCAGAGCACTATGGGCTTGGCCCTAAACGGCTGTTATCGCCCACGCACATTGGGGTCCACCGCACAGTCACGGTTTCCTTGGGGCTCAGGTCTGAGCACACACAGGCGGAGAAGACACTGAGCGGGGCTCCCAGACTCTGGCTCAGGATCACTCAGTTCTTCCCAAAGACCAGGTTCTGTTCCAGGCCCAGCCTGCCCACCTGGCTGGGGTTTCCCTCAGGCCCCGGGGGGTTCCTCAATCCTCATATGAAACAGGGGCTTATTGGAGCCCACACTCTAGTCCCTGAAGGGTTTTTGGAGCATAGCGGGTGTACCCTTTGGCTGAAGCTAGAGCCTGCCTCCCCGCCCCTGCACACATGGGGCAAAGGGCCTCACAGGGCACCTGACACATAGTAGGTGCTCACTAAACATCAACACTCATTACAGCTTGTGTACACACACGTACACACACACACACACACACACACACACGGAGTAGGTGCTCACTAAACATCCACTCTACCCCTCGCATGTGCACACGCATGCACACGCATGTACAGAAAGCATGTTGCTCTTTGGGCCCACGAACCTGCAAGGGCTGTTGTGAGGTTCACCTGAGATACATACACTCCAGGGCACAGGCCTACCTGAGATGTAAGTACCACGAATACGAATCCCTTTCTTCTGCTAGATGTCAGCCACGCATGGAGGCTGAAGGAAGAAGGTGCAGGGAGAGAGGAAGTCATGGGGGCTCAGGATGGAAGAAGCAGCTGGGAAAGAAGGAAGCGTGGCCAGCGCCGGGGGGCCAGGAGTGTGGGAGGTGCCTGGCTGCGCTCAGAGGTGCGGTCTGCTCAGAGAAAGACAGCCACGGGACGGGCGACCAGGACAGGGTCCTGATGGGGAAGAAGCAGGCTTCGGGGCCGGAAGAGATGCTTTCGCTGGGAAGAACCCATCAGAGACACCATCCGGGCCAAGGGAGCAACCAGGAAGCAGCGCTGGGGCTGGGGCCTCCCTGAGGATGAGGGGCAGGGGTGGGGGTGGGGGGCTCCTTCCAGAAGGAGCGAGTGCAGGAGGGAAGAAGGAAAGCTCATGATGGATGGCTGCAATAAGAGCCTGAAAAGGCCGCAGAGGAAGGCCTTGAGCACAGTTTAGAAACGCAGCCGAGGCAGGGCAGCGGCTCCGGTTTAGAGCAGGGGCCAGGCCAGGAAACACACGGGGTGGCGCTGCTTTGGGAGAAGGAGCCTCCCACTCCCTTCCTGGACTCCCTCCCACCCCCCACCCCTACCTGTGTACAGGGAAGCTGGTGGGATTTCAGGACAAAGCCTTCGTTTCTGTGCAAAGGTTCTTCTTGAATGAATCGGGCGGAAAACAAGAAGGTGTGGGTGGCATAGCGTAGAGGGTGGCTTCAGGGTCCCCGAGATGCCGTCTCATATTTTGGTTCTTCCACTTCCTGGCAAGGTGGCTTTGGACACAGTATTTAACCTTTCTGACCTCTGGGAGATTAGATGTTGAAGGTCAAGGAGCCTGATCCAGATGTCTCTGAGGTGCCTGCTTCCCTGCTCCCCCCCCACCCCCCACAGTCTGCTTCTGCTCCTGGCCCTGCTTGTTGCAGGGGGCAGGCCTAGCGCAGATGGTACTTCCCACCCCCCCCAACCCCCCCTCCCCCCCCTGAAGCACGGAGCCTGGAGCTCATCAGCAATGCCGATGCCTATGCTGCTGGTCCGGGGACCGCTCTCCCAGCTC